CTTTCCCCATGAACCGTTTGTGTGGACTACCTTGACGACTGCGGAGCGTGGGTGTCCTGTGGCTAGCGGGGACGTTCACACCGCTTTGCTGCCGCAAAACAGGAGGCTGACGGCTACATCCTTGCCTTGTTTTGCGAAATTTCATGATGGTGATGATGATGACTTTGTCATCACAGCTGCTCGATTCGTGAAGAGCATCTACGGTTTTAAGCATTTTCAATCGAATTTGTTGCGCGGTGCACGAAGCTACCATTAAGAAACGCACGAATCGAGAGCACTGAACAACCGCTGAGGTCGTGGACAACTGTGATTATCCGTTGTCCAGTGTAAGGATGCAGACATCCTGCGTGTGGCGAGCTCTCCGAGTGCCATGAACGCTGTGGGCGGCCCTTCCAGCATATTTTTGGGTTGATTGTCCCTCCAAGAACACCACCTCTTGGCAGGGATACTTGACCTTAGGATGCCGCTTTTTACCCTGCCATGACACTTTGGGTCCTATGTGACGAGATGGCTTGGACTCGTGAGCATTGGCATGTTGGGATTTAGGCTATTGGGTTTCCGTTGTAGAATGTAAGAAGCATGCCTGCAGGCGATGCAGTCAAACAGGAAATGTTGGAAATGCTGGGGTGGCCTGCGTTGACGAATCTCGCTTTGCCAGTGGTACCTTTGGTTACCAGTCTCTAAATTCGCCGTTCTGTACTTCGAAGTGACGAAGTGCCCTGGCGTTTGTACTCAACTAAAGGAACAGCAGCTACCTCGAGGCTTTCTTGTGGGAATAGGGTCCACATACAGTTGATTTTTTGTTCATCCTTTGAGGGATTACGCCACATCTGCGCAGAGTGCTCCTGGTAATGGGGAATGAGGGCAACGGATTTTGGGAACTGAAGTCATGGACTCTGGGAGGACCTATGGTCTCAACTTTCTTCGTAGTCTGGGAGTTTCCAGCAGAGTCAGTGTTTGGCACACACAATTTGACGTGCCCTGGTTTCCACAACAACGCCCATTCTTTTTGCATATCTGTGCTGCTTTCTCCTTCCCCATCCAATATTTCTTTGGGATTTTGTTGCTACTCTCATCATGTATGTCCCATGTGTAGATTGGCTGATTGGTAGCAATGGTTTTAAAGCAAGCTCTAATACCTTAGAGGGATGCGTGCGGACGTGACAGTGGACCTGATCTGCAGATTTCCCCATCTTTGCAAGCAGCGCAAGGCCCGCACACACTGCAACAAGCACAATTAATTTCAAACCCTCACATTTTCTTCACATCACTGTTCATACAGTGTCAATTACAGTTCAATGGGCAACATCACTCGACACATTCGACCAATCATGCAGGGCAATTGCAAAAAATTTGTCCACGCCAAGCCTAGGCGCTCCACAATAGTTCTGGGACCATGCCTTGTCATCTAACGTTTGCACACGGTGTAAATGAACTGGTTGAAGTCCAGTTGGAGGTGGCCTGTATGTTGAGGGTCGAATGCACCAAAAGTTGCAGCACAGCTCTTGAGAAACAAAGTCATAGCAATAAACTCTACCAATCCCAGCTGCCCACTTCTGTCAGGGTCGAAGGCTCGAACCCTTGAGTAAAAGGCATGTTGGTCCAAATGGAAACCTGCAAGATAACACACATTAAGTACCCTGATTTCATCAGCAAGTGAGACTAGGGCACTCAAAACAACGTATCAAATGCACAACTGAATCATAATGCCACAGCAAGCACACAACTTAAGTCCAATGGCAACCATAGATATCCGCAAGTGTGCATTTCCAGGAATGCACAGAGCCAGCTTCAGACCATGGCGTGCACAAAACTTGCCACTCCCTTTGTCCCATTTTGCCCTACATTTGCAAACCATGTGCTTGTGCCTTACCTGCACGAGCCACAGCCTGGAATATCTCGTCTGGTGACAGTGGGCCTCCTCAGTCTCTACCAAAGAAATTGAATCAATTCTGTGTGGAGACCAAAAATTCGTGCAGCTTTTTGAGCTCAGTAAAGTCGATATTCCCACTTCTTGTTTGGTCGTGTACCCTGCATGAAACCAAGGCAATTGTTAAAGTGAAATCCAGGGAGGGGCACAAAATCGACCGCACAGCAGCTGTCCCTGGGAAGGTGGTCAACAGACGTCAGGTGCAAAACACTTCGCCATGCGATGCCATCTGCTGTGTGCAATGGCAACAAATTGAAGGAAGTTGCTGGTGATCCAATTTTTTCCAACGTGCTCTGCCTGAATGCACATTCATAGTACATGGATATTGTCTCTGGTGCCAAAGTGTTGGACTCTATAGAGACAAGATTTCATCAATACCCAAAGACTGCTTCAGAAAGCTTGCAGATGCGAGATACATCAGCACCATCACAATCATTGCAGGCAGAGAGGGCTCACCGTATCATGTACGCAACGGTAGAGAGCGAGAAGCGCAGGATACCCACAGCCAGGGCTCTCTGCAGCTCCGCTGCCGATATCGGCCCCGAATTATCGGCATCCACTGGACACATTGCAGTGTCAGCAGTGACCAGAACAGGCAAATTACCAGGATAGGCATAAGGAAGGACGCCCGTCTGAATAGATACCGCTCTGGCAGATTGTGCCGGTGGAACTGACCTGCGCGAAACCACTGTGGATAAACAGCTGTCAGGTGGGAGACCAGCCAACCAGCGAATGCAAAGCAAGCGTGGAACGCTTCACCAGTAGGGTGCAGTCGCTGACCTGTTCGAGGTGCGACATCTCTTTGCAGGCTGTGGTTTGGGAGTGCAGTCCCTAACCAGCCTCGAATGTCCCAGAAGTGATCGAAGCGCAAAGGCTGCTTGTGTGGATGCCGCCAGCAGCCGTCGCTGTCTCGTCGGCCGCAGTTCTATTTGCTGCAGAGCGGTCCCCTCGTCCCAAGCCCAGCAAGCAAAACATGAAGCACTTTGAACATGGGTCATCACAGCATGCATAGGAGTGAAAATTGAAGGTGGAAGGAAGGAAGCCACACTAGCGCAAGCAGCTACTCTTGCGCTATTTAAACGTGTTCACGATTATGGCTGGAGTCTATACCTGTTCCTTACCATCCTGCACTTCATGGTGCCATCAAACATATCGTATCGCGATACAATACAGCGTGGATTTTCGAATATTGGTCAAAATGACCCCTTCAATGGTCCACAGTATGTTATCGGAATTCAAGCTCAGTATGATGGGTAGTGACAAAGATACTGTATGCAAGATGAATTGCCAAATCACATTTTGCTTCTGCCTGTGCTCGCCTTCTGACAAAAGGCGCTCCTTTCAAAGCACTGACAAGCCCTTTTGGGAAATTAGGAACTGATGGACTGTGGATTTCGCCGGTACAATATTGTGGTGTCCATTTGGCTAGCACCTTGGGACTGGCGATGCTCGATGCCTATCTTTGTGCCTTGTGATGGCACGCCCTGCTGTACTGATTTGACTGACCTGATGGCCCTGCTCTGCCAATCAGTGTCCTCACACTTTCAACTAGAAAGAGAATTAACAAACTTGTTAAAGGGTTTCCGCCAAGAGTGGCTAGAGGTGGGCTGCGCTGATGGTTTAAGGGAAGACTCTATTTTGACTTTTGTACGCTTGACTTCAAATTGACGTAAAGGGTGTGTGTGGTGTGGGTGGGTGGGGTGGGGTGGGGTGGGGGGGTGGGGGTGGGGTCCAGCCATTGACGCTAAGAGATTACATAATTGCACTAAAATTAAAGTAAGGTGGGATGGTGGACAAAAGCACCGTTGTTCAGCCGTAGATAGCTCATAATTTGTTGCAAAACCTTCCTCAAAACTTTTTGTCATCGAGGAAGTCCTTAGAATGGATCAGTTTCATAGCTTTGGGGGTTGGTCCCATCGCCTATAATGGCTTCTGACATCCTATATTTCAAATCACTGCAATCGCCACAATTTAGGTCGTTTGTTCCCTCAAACCATTTTGAAGTTGTATGGCATTGTTAGGTAATGCTGCTGAGTCATCCTGGAATTGAAATTAGGATTGACGCTAGGGGGGGTGGTAAGATTTGTTACAAAAGAGAAAGGGAAACAGGTCATACAACATGACGCCAAGCGTACCAAAATCAAAATAATGTTTTCCCTAAACTGACAATCATTTTAGTGAGGCAATTTCTAACGACAACCGTTTTGGCTTTTGACCACCTAGTACCTCGGATCAGTGAAGGTCTAAGGCGGTCAAGGAGGGCAATTGGCACTTTTGGCGCCTATGGAAGTGGCAATCTTTTAGAGTGGCTGAGCGAGGGCGGCTATTTATGCTCCCGCCTTCTATTTTACGTCTAGCATGGTGGTCCCTCCTCGGTCGCTATTATTGTTCCGCACACTCCCTGCCCGCCCGGTGAGAGCAAAGATTTGGTCTGATGTGGGATGCGGGAATCAGGGGCTGCCTCAGGGCTGAGAGACACATCAGCAAAGCACTAAATACTACGAAGCCACTGGTCACGAGCTACTGGGGGTAACTTGGACTAATGCGAAGAGCTGATGGACAGCATTTGGAATTGTAATGGCGATGCCTTCATCAAGCTGCCATGGGCAACGCAAACCAGCAAGGTGGAACACGCAGTGCGCCTTGACGTTCGAATAGTCGAAACGTTAAGCGCGCACGGCATTCCTGGGCGGCAACACGAGTGGGCTTGCGGGGTAGCTCCACGATGCTTTACCCATGGCACTCCACTCGAACGCAAAACCTCGTGACATCACACCCTAAGTATGCGAACGTCGTGGTTGGGGCGCACGCAACGGGTGCGGAACAGGCGGGGCTCGTTCACGGACATTGCAGGTTTCCTCACACCCCCCCTTGTTCCACACGGTCTTCTTGCAAAGATTGGGTGCCGTGTGCATTGGCAGTTTGTCCAGCCTTTGGGAGGATCGCAGGCCATCCACGGGTGTTGGCTCTAAGGCCACAAGAGCTTATTAGTGGAACTCACATAACGGTACTTCTGCCTTCAGGGAATGGCCGGGAGGCGAAAATTCCAAGAAAAAAGGGGGCAGTTTATATGGGTACCATCTTCGGGCGGCAGGAACCGAATCAAGTGTCCCTCAGTGAGCATCTTGGGAATGACGGTGAGCAGGGTTCACTTCAAAGCATTTTTCTGGCAGCAATACAGGAAAACCCTGCTGAATTTGGTACCCTCAAATGGCTCACAGCCAGCTTGTATACTTTGTCACAGTCACATATGTGCATGCATGACTGTTCTGAAATGTCCATGACTTTATGGAATGCTCAAGTAAGGGGAAAATTTGCAAATCCTAGTGATACCTTGTGCATACGTTCACTGGAAGCAGCTTCATTGCATGTGTCATTGCAGTCCGCACAGGATTGCCTTGATGCATATCATCTCAAGCTTGCCCTGCAATGATTTGCACAGCTCAGGGTGAAATGTGGTAAACATGGACCCAATGTGGCTTTGATACAAAATACATATGGGTACCTTTGTTGCAGAACGTGCTGCATTGGCTGCTTTCCACAACCCCTCATCCGTGCACACAAGTGTGGAAACTCTTGGGTTGTTTGACACACACCATGGCTACAGTTGCATTGATACATGACAGCATACTGACGTATTCTTTCAGAACATCAAGGGGCAGGAAGGAAAATTTTTTTTGGCAATGTTGTGTATCTGCTGAGATGTCTCCAAAGATGTGGGCCTTTGGTTTCTCCGCTGGTGCATGCAATTAGATGTCAGCATTTATACACCAGCATCTGTTGTGGTGCAGAACAGTGTGTGCAGTGACAACATTCTTTGCAATGCCAGGCGGCCCACCTAGGTTTTCAAGCCCATATGTTCCCACACGCAACAAGATGACCAACCCCGAAGATCTCCCAATTATGCTATACATCCCCGGGATTGATGGCACTGGTCTGGCAGCATTCCGCCAGTTCCCTTTGCTGGTGGAAGCTTTCGAATTGCACTCTCTGTCGGTGCCAACGGCTGATCGAACCGATTTTGTTGGAATTGTTGAGATAATAGAGGTAATTGGAAGCTGCCTATCTGAGACTCTGTTCTTATGTTCTTTCCCACAATTGCAGATGTACTGTCCTGCCTGTGGTTTCACTGTTGAATCTCAATGTCCATGCTGCAGATGGATGACAGCAACAGGGCTCTCCTTGGAATGGAACTTGTTGGAAGGCATGCCCTCAAGTTGGCCCACAAGGACCGTCAGAGGTGCCTTTCCCCAGTTTATGTTGATTCTTGGGAACTAAAATTGTGCAAGATTGTCACCTGCATACTTGTGTCTCATTCTGACAGAAGCTGTCCAGCATTTGGCTTGCTGCAGAATTCCCATATGCACACCTGCACAGTTCTAAAGTCAGGGATTGGGAGGTTAAGCTCAGGCAACAAACAGAAGGTTTGCTCAGATTGCTGCAAAAACCTCTTGGTTGTGTGGTCAATGGCAGCAGGTATCGTGCAGCAACGCACCAGAAGTTTTCCTTACATCTGTGACAAAGCTCCATGGGGAAGAACCCCCTTGGTGCACGCATGGGTCCCCTTTTACAATTGTACTCTGCAGCACTTTTGCAAGAGTGCCTACTGTTGTGTGTCTGTTGGCTTGTGTGGATGGAGTGGTGGCAAGGGGAAAATATGCAAACGAAAAATGAAAACCATTGGTAGTTGCATGTATTCTGTATGACCTCTGTGTCGGACACCATTGTCAGTTGATGCTTATGGTGGATGCCTTACTGCAGGACTATTTAAAGATTGAAATCAATGAAAGGGCAAATGGACGGCCAGTGTACCTGCTTGGAGAGTCGTTTGGAGGTGTCCTTGCATTGGTTGTGGCTGAGCGATGCAGGCGAGTATTGATGCCAGCGCTACTTGTTTATGCCGACCATTGTTCATTGTTGCATTTTCCTGCTTGCGCATTTGGAGCGATTACATCATCTGTTGGAACATGGCAGAGGTTCAAACCTATATGTGCAGTTGGGGGTTGGAGCACTGATGCTTGTCTCCTCATGCAGTACTGTGGAAGAAGAATGCAAGAATGCGCAAGTACAATTTTTGCTTCCTTCTAGAGTTCAGTGACATCATCGTAACACATGTGCTTTGCCCATCTACACTCCAAGTTGCACTCCAGCTAGTTATAGAGAACAAGCTTATTCAACTTTTTTGGCCCCAGCCATTTTGAATTGGCTGGCAAATCTAGTCCGCCCGATGTAATAATGTCGTGGCAAGAAATTTCAACCTCACTGGATTCTCAATGGCACTGTGTTCGATGTGTACTGGTTTCCACATTTGAAGTCAAGAAAATCCTTGTGTGTGCTGCAACTGAACAGGACAAGAAAGCTACTGTTGTGCGACAGTGGATGGATAGTGGCGCCAAAGTGTAGTGTCAGGATGAAGCAAGACACATTTGTGCTCTTGGCTCACATCGGCAATTGTTTCGTTTTCCAGGGAACTTGTTGACCGTGTGGTTCTGGTCAACCCTGCCACAAGCTATCGTCAGTCGTACTGGCCGATTTTGGGACCGATCATGCCACAAATCCCAGAGGAACTGTATGGTGCTGTTCCATTTGTGCTGGCACCAGTTTTCGGGAATCCGTTGGCTTTGCTTGCCCACAATATCGACTCCACAGTGCCACCAGAGAGGCAACTCACAAGCTTAGCTAAGGTGGGTGCCTGAAGATGAAAAGGACGGGATTTATCACTGAAGAATGACATTGGGAGAGCGTCCTGTGGCCTTATGGCTTCACAGGGTCATATGTGGCAAGTCACAGATCAATGCTTCTCATTAATGCACAGCCTTGCGTACCATGTTCCCCATGCTCGCCTTCAGAAGTGTGTTCTGGCAATCTGGGGAGTTGTGCATGTCGAAACAACGGCATGGTGGATAATAAGGAATGACTGTTGGCGTGTGCAGGCTGGAATTGCCAATATGTGAACCACCCCTACAGCCCATAAACCATGTACTTGCGTCTGGATTGCTGAAAAGGAAGGTCTAAACACATATGTGTAAGAAGAGTGAATACATCGTCAACAGATGAGAAAAATAGCGCCCCAGACTGGAGGGATGCCATCGCTGATCTAGTGCTTAGTGAAGTGCATATCATGCCTTCAAAGTAAGGCTGGTAAGATGTGAACGTGTGGCCCCCATGACAGAGTCCAGTGGAGAGATTGGTATATGTGTAGAGACTCACTTGGTTCGTGTGCTCATTTTCTGAAATGGCATGAATAGATTGCTCCACGTGCACAGTTTGCACAGTTGACCATCAGTTGATTGTGTCAGCGTATTTCAAATAGCTGCCATGTGCCATCAGAGATGCTATCGATTTTATGTCTAGCTTTGAGGAGTTTGTGATGTCTGTCTGTTTCAGGGGATCGCTGATCTTTTTGGGACACTCAATTTCCTTGTTGACGTACTGCCACCGCCGGTTGTGGCATGGAAGCTGGAGCTTCTGAAGCAAGGCATGGACGAGGTTGACAAAGTGCTGTCAAAGGTACCATGACATGCTGTTGGAAATTGGCTTGCTTGGCGACATGGCCCCCATGTGATGCGCTGGCACGACTGGATGCAACTGCGGCAATGTCGTTGGGCTCAATCGGTGTTTTCTTAGGTTCGTTTCAAGCACCTGAGGAAATCATACCATTGATGGACTTCCCACATCTGTTATTTTGCCCAAATGTTCTGCCTGTCCTTTCTCTTCAGAAGCCCTGGTTTTCAAGTGATGTGCTGCGTTTGGGTCGCATAGGTTCAGCAGCGTGTGCTGCTTGTGGCTGGAGAAGGAGATTGGCTGTTGCCATCACGCTCTGAGGCTCAAAGGTTGCAGAGACTCCTTCCGCGTTGCTACACGAGGGTGCTTCCTGGTAGGAGTCACGCTGTGCTCCAGGAAGCTGGAGTTGACCTGGTTGAGATTATGAAGGTAAAAAACTACAGCTTGCTAGGATGGTCAAAGAATTTCATGTAAAACAGAAGGAGAATTCCCGCAACTGCCGTGTTGTTTGCAGCAAAGAATGGGCATATCCTATGCAGAAACATGCAGATAGGGATCTTCCCCATGTTGATGTCATGATAGGAATGTTGTGTCACCATCTTCCCCACAATGGAGATGCTGAAATTCCCCTGGGTGCTGTACTTGATTAGGAAGAGGGTTTCCTGGTCACAGAGCGCCGCCTTTCCTGTGAACCCACTACTGGTGTTCCGAAAATGAACAACTTTGGCAAAGCAGGGCCAGTAGAACTTCCAACGCAAGTTGAACGAGATCGTGCGGTGGAGCCATTCAAGTTCTTTTGGAGGCTATCCAGCCCTGTGTTCTTTTCAACCATGGATGATGGCAGGTGATGCATATTGATGGCCACCCTTTTGCCTCTGTCAGCATATTAAAAGATCCATAACTGTTAACATCTCTTCTGTGCACTCTCTTAGTTGCTTTGCTTGAAATTGGATGTCCTCTTTGTCTGCCTGCGTGTTTTTGTTGCCAAGAGGAGGAAGATGACTCGGGGCAAAACTGCTGGGTACACATTGGGCTGAAACTGTAAAAATACACAATGGCGTACCTGGCTATTTGATCTGGTTGCGTTCGACAGA